CCCTGGTTGCCTGCAAAAGATAAAGCACCCGGACACAGGTCTCAGTGCCCAGATGTCCATGTGGAAGAGCCCAGGTGTGGGAGGGAGAGGCCAGGGAAGACGCAGGGGCGGCCCCCCAGCCTGGTGCCCCTGAACCCGCCCCTAAGCCAGGTTTCCAGCCCAGCGCCTGAGGCAGGGAGATGCAGTGTTCTGCTCGGGGAGGATGGAGAGCTGCTGGAGAAGCGACCTGTCGGTAAGTAAGGTCCAGTTCCAGAAACTCACAGCCAGGGCAAAGACATGTGTTTTGTCCCCGTCGGAGGTGGGCCTGCTGAGCCATGGCCAGTTCTGCATCACACGGAGCAGCTCTGGCAGCACCTTCACCACTGTCCTTCCCGATGAGGCGATGATCTTCCACAGGGTTGCAGCAGCTCTGCGGGGCCAGAGTTCTGTGTCAGGGGGGTGCTGGCCAAAGTGCCTTGAGGAGCAGGGAGGGACCATGGCAGCAGGATGGAGGCTGACATGGCAGGGCTGGGAAACAGAGGCTCCAGATGGTCCTGGAACTCTCCACCCCTCTGGCAGACCATGTGGGACAGGATGGACAGGGTGATGCGCTCTGAAGGCTGGTAAGCCCCGAGCCCTGAAGGCAGGGAGGCCCTGTACCTGTCACACGATGGGGCACAGCGCAGGAGGGTGAACACAACATCAGCAGGGTGTGCCTCAGTCACCCTCAGAAACTCCGTCAGCAGTTTCTCTTCTGGAGTCGCGTTGGCTGTCATTCTCTGGTGCACGTTCCTGACGAAGGCTGGCACCTGCAGGAGGCATGGGGGAAGAGCTGCCAACTTGCTCAGGTTCCCTGACGAGTGCTTCCCTTCCCACCACACTGTGCTGGCCTCAAAGGCTGAGAGGGCCCAGGGGAGCTGGCTCGAGGGGCCACAAGCCCCTGAAGTGGCTGGAGCCTTGGGCGCAGGCTGCTTACTTGCTCTGGACTGGAGACACCATTCTCCTCAGCAATATCTGGAGTGGGAGCATAATTCACACTCTCCCTGGGCACGAGGTCAGTGTCTGCAGTGCCCTCGGTCATTGCAGTGTCGGCCTCCGCAGTGAGATTGGGCGGTGTAGTGCCAGAGTTTGTGTGTTCATCGCTCAACGGGATGTCAGGGATTGCAGTGCGATCCATCGATGGGCTGTCAGGGTCTGTTGTAGCATCACTCAAAACAAGGTCAGACTTTGTTGCGTGAACAATTGTCGGGGTATCAGAGTTTCCTGTGTCATCAGTCACATCAGTCAGTGTGGTGGTGACATCAGGGTCCGCCTCGAGCTCAGTCAGGCTGGGGTCAGGCTGTGCCATGACCTCGGTTGGTCTGGTTGTGGTCCTTTTACGTCGAATGCCCAAGAATTTCAGGAAGGTCTGCAGAAGAACGGAGAGCAGGGAAGAGAGGGATGTGCCTGGGAGAGCTCTGACAGCGGTGCCAGGCTGAGCAGTGGCGGCAGGCCCAGCCCAGGAGGCCGTGGCTGCAGGTACCTGTGCTGCCCTGCGGAAGCGGCCACGGGCACGGTCCTGTTCTTGTGTCTGGTCCCGGCCTGGATCTGGCAAAGAGCGAGCGCGGTCAGAGCTGAGGGGCTGCGGGACAGGCCGCAGATCACGGCCCAGCCCTGCGCTCCACAGGCAGGGCCGGCCCCGGGATGGCCAGTGCATGGAGCTGCCGGGGGAAGAGTCCTGGGCCCTCTTCCCCCCTCCCTTTCCTTGGCCATGTCCACAGGGGACAGGGTGGGATGAGGCAGAGCCGGCGGCAGCCACCAGCCCTGGGGCCCAGCTGTGCCACTCACCTTCCTGCAGGGGATGCAACTGCTCCATCTTCTCAGGCTGCTGGGATAGAGCAGCTCCAGGGCCTTCCTTCTTCATCCGAAAGGGCCTGAGCAGGCTCAGGCGTCTCCCCGCCATCTCACAGCTTGGCCTTGAAGGCCCCTGCAAGAGAGAGACGCCTCGGAAGATCTCCGGGTCACCAAGTCCGGCAGGCTGCCCTCGAGGCCACCTACCGCAGGGATTGGAGACTCCGGAAAATTTCCGGGTCCCCAATCCTGCAGTCTGGCCTCGAGGGCACCTGAAAGAGAGAAAAACCTAACAAACGGTATGGGTCAGCAAGTCCTGCAGTGTGGGCTCAAGGACACCTGAAAGACAGAAAAGCCTAGCAAACGCTAGGGATTAGCAAGTCCTGCAGTGCAGCCTCGAGGGCAGCTGCCGCAGGGATGGGGGACACCTCGCAAAAGCTCCGTGTCACCAACTCCCACGGTCTGGCCTCGAGGTCGCTCGCACCACAGAAAAACCACCAAAACGCTCCACTCAGAAAAGAACGAGTTGGCTGCACGGGGGCTCCGCACAGCACCGCTCTGTCCCGTCTGTCCCGTCGCACGCTCCGAGGAGCACTGAGGCGTGGCCACCTCACCACCACTACTAAGTCCTCACGTGTCACAAAGGGCCCTGTGACACCCTGCCCCGTGCCATCCCACGTGTCACAAAGGACCCTGTGACACCTTGCCCCCTGTCCTGGGGACTTCCCTGCCCAGCCACCCTCCCCCAGGTCGGAAGGAATCCGTTCTCCAAAGCACCCAAGACAGTCGAACACGAACTTTAGGCACAGCTCAAAAACTAAGCAAACCCTCCCCTGCTGTGCCTGCCCACGGTAGCAGAAGGAGACCCCTCGGCTGCCGACGCAGCCGCAGCGGGAAGGCCACGGGGCCTCCACGCAAGCTGGCACGGGCTCCTTGGGAAAAGTGCCGGCTGGTGGCCCTCCCGAACACGGGGCTGTGACACACAAAAGGAACGTGGGGGCAAGGGCACCAATGCTGCTCCCACCCCATTGAACGGGGTTGCACCAAAATCAGCAGCTCTGGCAAGTCCTCGCCCAAGGAGACCTGCCACCACCCCCAGTCCTGGCAGGGCTGGTGCTCGTCTCCTGCCCCACACAGCTGTGTCCCCGGGGCACTTCTCTGCCAC